GGTGGAGGCTGGATGAAGTCTTGATGGAGCTTGCAAGGATGCATGGATTGAGGTCTTAGTTTAGGAGCTTGCTCTCTTCTTGTGAGGTTCGAGACCCTGAAGTTTGAGGGACATTTATGGTACTTTCCTGAGGAATGCACTATGGATGTCTTTCATTCTTTCCTCTCACCTCTTTCTCAAAGTATCCAATGATGTTGGAGCCTTCATGTGAGTTTAGTTTCTCCTGAGGAGGAATGTAAACCGATCACAGTTGTTGAGCCACATGGGATATGATTCCTAAGTGGAAGCCCCCTGGTACTTTCCCGAGGAAGGCACTGTGGGTCTGCTCACTTAGTTCCCCTAGTTCTTGTAGGATTTCCTAAGTATCCAATGATGTTGGAGCCTTCATGTGAGTTTATTTTCTCCTGAGGAGGAAACCGATCACAGTTGTTGAGCCACATGGGATATGATTCCTAAGTGGAAGCCCCCTGGTACTTTCCCGAGGAAGGCACTATGGGTCTGCTCACTTAGTTCCCTTAGTTCATGTAGGATTTCTCAAGTATCCAATGATGTTGGAGCCTTCATGTGAGTTTAGTTTCTCCCAAGGAGGAATGTAAACCGATCACAGTTGTTGAGCCGCATGGGATATGAGTCCTAAGTATAAGCCTCCTAGTACTTTCCTGGGAGAGCACTATGAGTCTGCCTACTTAGCTCCCTTTCTTTGGTAAGCTTGTTTTGAAGCTTGAAGAATGGGATTGATTTCTCTTGTATGTAGGGTTTTGCTTAGAGATTTGGTCAGGGTTTTGATTAGGGCTTTGCTCAAAGGTAGATTATGGTTTGTTTTAGGGTTGTTCAGGGTCTTGCTCAGGGGTAGTTTCTTGTTTTGGGATAGGGGTTTGTCAGGTTGGCTAGCCTTCTCTTTGTGTTGTTTGACTTGTGTGGTGTTGTGCTGCATTAGACTTAGGGGTTCATCTAGATATTTCTGAGGTAGGTGCATCTTAGAGATAGGCTTTGTGTGCATGAGAAGTTGAGGTGGTCCTCCTTCTGCTTGTTTGTTATTGAGTGGCTTTGCTTGCTGGTATTTGGTAGAGCTGAGCTCCCTTACCTCTGTGGTTTGCGGCCTTTGCACCTTGTTTGTTTGGTTGTTGCATTCATGCATATTTCCAGTATTTCTTTACTTTGCAGTTGATTCCTGTTTGCTGTTTAGTCCTGTTGCCATGATCCCTTAGGAGCTCTAACTTCTCCGTTGTGGAGGGGTTATGATAGACATTAGGTGGGTCAACCAGGCATGATAACATTAGGTAGATTCCACTTTTCAACCATAGTTTTAGGGTGTCTTTTTCCTTTCTCAACAATAGAAAAACCCTTGAATAGCTTGTGTCGTAGTTAGCCGAACTACAGCTGCTCTGATTTCTCGTGACAGACGAGAATATGTAGGCATAGGATGCGATATCCTAGCAAGCACAATAACAACTAACCTTTTGTTTTCTCGCTGCTGTGCGATCGAGACTTTCCCGCTGACGACTGATGTTACCCTTTTCTCTTGCCCGAGTGCATTTGAGACCAGACCGTAGTTTTTCCCCTAGGGTCCCGAACCCTTAAAACCAGATTATTTCTCACTGCTGTGTGAGAACACCCAGTTTAGCCGTAATTAGTCGAACTACGTTTGCTCTGATCTTCCATGCCGTGTGGAAGTACGTAGGCACAAGATGCGATGTCCTGGCGAGCAACCTCCCCCCGTCTAGACGTAGGTAGTCGAACTACGTTGACTCTGACTTTCCCATTGCACGAGGGAGTACGTAGGCCCAGAACAGTGTATGTTCTGTCGAGTCCTGTCCTTTTCTTTTCTTTTCAGACTGACCATTAGCGTAGATAGATAAACACACCCTTTTCCTTATAAACACCAAAGCGTGGATCCCGTCGAGTACGACGGACGTGAGGGGTGCTAATACCTTCCCCTTGCGTAACCGACTCCCGAACCCAGGTTTTGGTTGCGATGACCATACCTTTCCCGTGTTTTGCGAGGTTTACTTCGAGCGTTTCCTTTCCCTCCTTCGGGATAAATAACGCACGGTGGCGACTCTTCTGTCAGCCGGCGCCGATTTTCGCAGTAGTGACAGGGAGAACTTCTCTTTCCTGGTTGTCCTCCGACATCTTTCACATAGGACAACAAATGACCTCTCTAAATTAAGATCTCGATTTCTATTTTGAGCTGATGACAATCTTCCGTGTGATGACCACAGAGTTTGTGGTATGCACACCATGCAATCTTGTTTTTTCCCATCCCGATGTGGACTCCTTTTGGACGCCCCGAGATGGGGAGTAATTTGAGATGATAAACTTCTCTCAAAACATCTTCATGTCTGGCATTCAATGTCATATACTCGACATCTTTGTCAAACGATCGTTGGGATGGTCTTATCATTGTCCGGTCTCTAGGTTTGGGCTTAGAGTACTCCTTCCTCTTCTTTAGCTCACATTTTTTCCTTGGCGTATCAAGATATCTTTTCCATGTTGCTCTCCTACTTTTTGATATATTATTCTGCTATGATAACAACCTCATCCATGCTAGATGCTAGATTTTGTGCTAGGGATTCGTTGAACTACCCAACTTTGAGGCCATGTTGAAATGCCCCCCCAAGAACATCTCCTAGTTCGAATGAGACACCTTAATGGTTTCTTCGTTGAAACCTTGCTAGATACTCTCTGAGGGACTCCGAGTACACATGCCGAAAGTTGAATAAACTAGTGGTCGACACTTTTTTATGTTTGCTTGCTAAAAAGTGTTATACCATATTTTTAGTTAGGTCCTGGTAGCTAATGATAGAGAATATGGGTAAGCTCATATACCATCGCAAAGCCCCTTTCTTAAAGGTATCTGCCATGAGTTTACACTTAAGGGAGTCACAAGCCCTTACTATTTCCATCTGATCATTGATTGCAATAATGTGCTCATGTGGGTCGAATTTACCATCAAAAGATACCAACGGTTGTGGTTTGAAGTTCTCTAGAACTTGATCATCTTAGATCACCTCAGACAATGGTTGGGAATCCAGAAGCTCATCCTCTGCATCCCCATCCTGTTGACATTGTGTTTGCAAAACGTGGATGCCATCTTGCAATGTTTCATTTTGTTGACTGAGAGCCTCTACCACTGCGAGCAATTGGGTTAGATCTGGTGGCGGAGGTGGATCACTTCGGCTTTTAGATGATCCAGACATCGCACAATTGGGCTATTAGCGATTTTGATGATGATTTTTTGTGTGGTTTGAGAAAATTTTAGCATAGCCCCACGGTGGGGGTCAAATTTTCTTGCTAAAAACACTATAATATTGGCTTCCCCAATGCTAGTAAGGGAGAGTCTCAATGATTGATTAAGTGTTTGTAAATATTTTTCTCAGGTAGTTATTGTCCTCCTTTTCTCATTTCCTGATCTCCCTTATGTAGGCCCATTCCTCACCCATAAAAACCATGAAGAACCATTTCCTCTTCCTTCTTGCATTCAAAGCTTATAAAATTGTCGCCGCTTTATCATCTAATTTCACTTCTTAATGGCTTGTAACGCCTGCTTCATTATGGTGTCGTTATGACCTTTAATTTTTCGTGACCGTTTTCAGATGGTGGCCCTTCGTCCGACTATTATCTCGACTTATCCGAATTCCATACTCGACGACACGAGGCTTTCCACCTAGGTCCATCAGGACCCTCAACACGACAATACGATGACTTCATTAGGCATGGTTATATCTCAGATATTCCTTAGGCGAGTCTGCGTTCTAACTCTGGCTACTACCCGATTTCCACCCGAATCATCCGTACTTCATCACTGACTTCTTCCAATTTTACAGTCAAAATAATTTTCAATATATATATATATATATATATATATATATATATATATATATATATATATATATATATATATATATATATATATATATATATATATATATATATATAAAATTTAATTGCATGTTTGTGCATATTACGATTAAACAAATTGATAGTGTGCTAATTGTATATTTGATTCTATTTTTAAAAATATCAAATAATTTTAAAGACATATAATTGATTTTGACATATTAAAATATTATTATTCATTACATTGATTGTATCTTCATAATTAACTTTAATATGAAGTTACAGTACAATTTATGGTTTAACTTTTTTCAGCAAGCGAAATTTTAATTCTTCAATTTATATTTCCCCCCATCCATCTCTCAAACCATTATTATTACTTGTTTATACTCCTCATAATAATGAATTCTGGTCTTGGAAGACAAGAAGTAAAAGTGGTTTCCATAGTTTGAAATGCTGTCACCAATTCCAGTAGCAAGTCTGTCAGACTTTTTTATTTCTCAGTATCTACTAGTGCTAGTGCCACTGCCAGTGCCTAGTATGACCTACCCTGCCAGCCATTAACTCCTCTTAATTAACAAGGACCAACTAAAGTAGTGAAAAGCACTTTTAAGGGCCCAAACAATAGCACGTCGAATCCAATCTAAAAAATGGGCCCATTTAAGACCATCTTAGCCCATTCATTTTCCTTTCCAAATTCATCATCATTTTGAATTGGTAACCCTTTCTCGATAAAAAGAAAGAAAATTCCTAACCTTATTTTATTAGGTTCAAATTCAAATGGTTCATTTTCAAACCAAAGAAAAAAAGACAACCTGTTTTAGGTTCACAAGAGACACAAAAGAAAGAGTATCAAAACTCCGCGTTAGACAGTTGTCACTTTTTACTATTTTAGTCATAAATTGCGAATAATTTCTAATTTCCTAATATAAAAAATAAAAATCATAAATCCAACGGTTCATATCAAATCTCCAAAACGACCCCACCCACGCTTTCCAAAACGCAATTATCGGATACATTTGCCTCAAAAACCAACCTTTCCCTTTCGTGGTTTCCGTCTTCCTCTTCCCCCTCTTTTTCTATTTCTCTCTCACAATCTCAATCGCTTTCTCTCTCTAAACTCCCCCAAACCAGATCTCGCTTTCTCTCTCTAGGTTTCAACAATGGCTACCGCTCATACTCCTCGGGAAGAGAACGTCTACATGGCTAAGCTCGCCGAACAAGCCGAGCGCTACGAAGAAATGGTGGAGTTCATGGAAAAGGTTTCCGCCAACGCCGATAGCGAGGAACTTACCGTGGAGGAGAGGAATCTTCTCTCCGTAGCTTACAAAAACGTGATCGGAGCTAGACGTGCCTCGTGGCGTATCATTTCGTCGATCGAGCAGAAGGAAGAGAGCCGCGGAAACGAGGATCACGTCGCTGTTATCCGTGATTACCGATCTAAGATCGAGTCTGAGCTCTCTAACATCTGCGACGGTATCCTCAAGCTTCTTGATTCTCGTCTTATTCCATCAGCTTCCTCTGGCGATTCTAAGGTTTTCTACCTTAAGATGAAGGGAGATTACCACAGGTACCTTGCTGAGTTTAAGACCGGAGCCGAGCGTAAGGAGGCCGCAGAGAGCACTCTTGCCGCTTACAAATCTGCTCAGGTTAACCGTTTTTTCCTTTTCCTTTTTATTATGTTCTTCGATTTTTGCGATCCAGATCTGTTCTATATTCTCCAGATTTGAAATCTTACTCATGATTTTTCACACCGTGCTTTGTTTATGAAATCTACTAGATCATATTAATTATTTAATTTAGGTTTCTTTTTTTTTCTTTCTGGATAATTCATGATTCTCTGCTTTATGCGGTTGTATTGAAAGATTATTCATGTATTATTTTCGCATGTCGTCTTAATTTTCGTGTAAATATGAATTCCATGTACTGTGTATGTAATTATTACTTGTTAGTTTGTAATTGAAAGATTTTCTGCCTTTCTGACGGATGAGCGCGATCCTTTGTTTGGCAGGACATTGCAAATGCTGAATTGCCACCAACTCATCCAATTAGGCTTGGCCTTGCTCTGAACTTCTCCGTTTTTTACTATGAAATCCTTAACTCTCCTGATCGTGCCTGCAATCTTGCAAAACAGGTTAGAATTACAGATGTGCTATACTGTATTGTTTTGTTCTATTTCCTTTAACTTTATTTGATTAAAATTTTGGATGTTTGAGGTTAAAATATGAAGTTTGGGCTCTTTGTGGTGGGAATCTCTTACTCTCGTTGTCAATTATTGTTTCAATTAATTGGAATAACTTAGTGCCTACACACCATATAGTATTACATTTCGTTTAGCAAAAATGATGTTGCGTTTTGGAATCTACTAACCACACGTGGACCTAACTTTTGTACTATTATTGTTCCTACTATTCCTACACCTAAAATGAGTTGTCAATAATTTTTGGTTGTTAATTAGTTTAAAAATTAATTTTATAAGTTCAATAATATAGTTCTCACAGCTAATCAATGTGGACACCTTGTTCTAGCCTCTAAGAACAGGTAGTACCAATAAACAACATCAAGTAAAGATACTACCCAAGTAGTCCCCATTGAACTTATTCTTTTTAATTTCATTATGAAATGTTCATTGGTATAAGTATATAGAGCACAAATTCAGTACTAGTTCTTCTGTTCTATGTGCATATTACATACTCATGAAGATTCCTTTTTCTCTTGTAATCACTAGGCCTTTGACGAAGCTATTGCTGAATTGGATACCCTTGGAGAGGAATCATACAAGGATAGCACTTTGATCATGCAACTTCTTCGTGATAATCTCACCCTATGGACCTCTGACATGCAGGTATTTATTTGGGTTTACCATAATTCTTGCACAACATGTATGTCTATTTCTTTTTGTTTAATTGATGTATTGATCTTGGTTTATTTGGTTCCAGGATGATGGTGCCGATGAAATTAAAGAAGCAGCCCCTAAAGCAGACGAACAGCAGTAAAAAAATTCAACTGCCAATTAGAGTCAAACTTCTCCTCCTCTATAAGTTAATGAATGAAGGAAGAAGGTGCTTGTTGCCAATCTCTTTGGGTTATGAGATTTTAGGCATTCATGTCTGTTGAGTTCTGGAGTCCTGGGCTGTTTTAGTTTGTCCTTCCATTTTTAAGTGTTTTACAAATTATTGCCTATTTTATTGAGGACACTGAAGTTTTATTATATGGAATTGGAAATTTAAGATTCCCTTCTTTCTAGTAAGGATTTTAGCTTTATTTGTATCGGTCGTGAACTCATGGTGGTGCATCAATATCACCTGTTATAATCTAGGGATGGCCACTCAAAAATTCGTGAAATCACATCACGAGTAGCCTTTTTAATTTTATATTTAATTATTTCAGAACAATTAACGTTGTTATTTAAAGATTTTCTAATTGTTGACTCTTCAACTCTTTTTTCAAAGAAACTTTTCAAATATTTGTTTTCAAAGAAATTTTTTACCTTTAGAATATTTGGATCAGCTTTTCAATCCCACTAATCGTTCACTCCGATGTAAAATTTGACGTGATTTTTTGATGCAAGTCTATTGCTTATTCATTGCCTTGTGATATCTAAGTTTCCAAACAAATGCATTATTCATTTGTTTTCTTAATTTTTGAAATTTTCGACAAAATGTGTAATTCATTTGTTTTCGTTCTAAGTTTTTTTAAACACATGATCTGATTTATTTGTAATCGCTTGTTAATGTATAATTTACAAAATATTTTTTTTATATTTTATCTTATAACTTGTGTTTTTAGGAAAAGTTAGTCTGATTCTCTTTTTTATTACCAAGGAATGTGCAAGGTTTCTTCACCGGTCAACAGGCTCTTTTTTTTATTTAATTTTTTTTCTAAGTCTTGGGGTAAAGATGCTTCTTAAGAAGATACATAGAAAAACCTAATTTCGCATTTCTTTATCATTGTGGGAACAACAACACATGCTAACTTTTTCTCTATGAAGACAGCCGATTAAGAAAGGTATGTCAAAACTACATCATTATTAAATTTTTTTCAAACATTTTCACATGAAGTGTCCTAGCTCAAGCTTTGCCTACATTTGGGGCAACCCGAGTAAACTCTAAATTGTGGAGATTGAGTCTAGACTTTAAAAAAAAAAACTAAAAAAAACTAAAGGCGCATTTTTTTAATGAAGTTTTTGGATTTTTTTTCAAGAGAATTTTTTAAAGTATTTTTTAGACATTACACATATTTTCTATAATGTTCATAATTTCTAAAGATATATCTCCGGACGCAGTCTTGGAGAAAATATGAATATTAATCAGTGAAAGTTTCAGAGATATATCTCCAGAAGATGTGAGCGACAATTTGAATTTTCCTGTCACCTTTACATGTCAGATTGTTTTAGAGGTATATCTTTGGAAATATCTGACATATTTTTCAGCTGCATGATCAGTCCCCATTGTTGCCATACTTCATTTCAACTTAAACGCTCACCCCTAAAAATCCTACATTCTCAATCCAATTTTTCACTCCAAATCTCCATCTTTTTGGTTCAATATATAACAGAGAGGAAAAGAAGATCGAACTTCAGATAAAGATTATTCATTTCCATCTACATTGCTTAGACTAATCATGAAACTTTGCTGAAAAAAGTTACGCAGTGTCCGGAGATGTATCTCTTGAACATGCTGAACATGAACTTTTTCGGAGATATATTTTTAGAATGTTTCTATGTTCATTTTCATCCTTTTCTACAACAATAGATTAATTATTCTTATTGTTTTTATTGTTTTCAATAGATATGGTGTACCCCAATAATATCTCGAAACAAGTAATTTTTTCGAACGAAATTTTTCCGAATGTTCAAGGGGTTGTTGTTAAGGCGGTAGATGCTCGCAATGAATTTAATAACAAGCAGGAGTTTGAAAATCCTGATAACATGCTCGAATGGATTCGTATGGTGACATCTAGACTTGGATTTGACATGATTATCGGAAGGTCGGATAATTTCTTGGATAGAAGAAACGCCTTTGTGACAATGTTGTGCGAAAGAAGCGGAAAATGTCGAACTCCTCTCCATAATTTTAAGAGAGAAGACACGGGTAGTAGAAAATGCGAGTGTTCGTTTAAGCTTCGTGGTTACACGTTGGCTAGTAAAAAATGGAGATTTAATGTCATTTGTGGTGCGCATAACCATGAATTATTCTTTAAATTAGCCAAACATCCTAGTGTATGTCGGCTCAAGTCGGAAGAGAAGGTATGTATTAGTGACATGATCTTGAATCTTGTTCAACCGAAAAATATACTTGCAACATTGAAACGGAAGCAAACCGACAATATATCAAATATCAAGCAAGTGTATAACATTAAGTAGCTCACTAACAAGGCGATTAGGGGAGATAGAACTGAGATGCAACAACTGTTGAAACTGTTGGACGATAACAATTAAGTGTCCTGGTACCGAACTTGCGACGGTGGAGTTACGGTTAGAGATATTTTTTGGACTCATCCAGATTCTATAAAGTTGTTCAACACGTTTCCGATAGTGCCTGTACTTGATTCTACCTACAAGACCAACAAGTATAAACTTCAATTATTTGAGATGGTTGGTGTTACCTCAACTAAGAAGACATATTGCGTTGGTTTTGCATTTTTAGAGTGTAAAAAAAAGGACAATTTTACTTGGGCATTAGAGGTGTGTCGGTCACTTTTGAAGGATCAACGTGAGATGCCTAAAGCTATTGTTACGGACCGTGATACCACATTGATGAATGCGGTTGCAAAAGTGTTTCCTTCTTCTTATGCATTACTTTGTAAGTATCACATAACAAGGAATGTGAGAAGTCAGGTTAAACCCGCGGTAGGGACGAAACAAGTAGATCCCGAAGGTGGAAAATTGGTGAAGTCGGGTGTGATTGTGGAGAAAATAATGGATGCATGGAATCTCATAATAAATTCTTCCACAAAAGAATTATATGTTGATTCTGTCATTCATTTCCGAAAAATGTGTGAAAAGTATCCAGTGTAACACCCCAAATTTAATCGGAATATTTTAATTAATTATTTAATTGAAAATATTCGTGTTTCGGTGAATTTTCGGTGGTTTTGAGAAGTATTGGAAAATGTGCATTTTCGGGTATTTATTTGATTAATAGCATATAATATTAATTTATTAGTATTATTATTAATTAAAATGAATATAAGTGAAATAAGGGTAATTTGGGCATTTGAAGGAGTTAGTAAGGGTAATAAGGGCCCAATTTGTGAGGCCAAAGACTAGGTTTGACAAAATTGAGTTATGAAGGGAAATTAGAATTCATTTGTGTTAACCGTGAAAGTTTGGTGGGCAGAGCTCTGAAGGAAAGGTTGGAGGAGAAGATCCCAAAATTTAATCGTAAAAGCTGCGAATCGACTAAGGTATGGGGAGTATCGTTTTTCATGATTTTCTATGTAAGCCTTTCGATGTGTTTATAGTTGATTTAAGATTTAAGGTATTTTGGGTTGATTGTGGGAAATTAGGGAAATTGATGATAAGACTCTGAGATTATGGCTAATGGTATGTATCACTGAATATTGATATGAGAATTAGGAAACCTTAGGCCTTGTGGCCAAAACCTTAGATTGTTATATGTCTGACCCTGAAGGGATCGAATATTGAATAGTGAGTAACTCTAATGCCATAGGGTGTAATTGATATAAAAATTGTGATTTAGGACATGAATAAGTTTTGGGATTGGCCTAATAAACCGTAGGTTTTGTGCCGTTATCGCCGTATGACCTTAGGGATGATTTAGGGATGTTTTGGGGACATTGGGTAAGTAAATCGTATGAGTATTTGAGTGAAAATTAGTTTTGGTGCGTAGCAGTTTTTGCTGTCATCGCACTGTTCGCCTAGCGAACCATGTTTTTCCAGACTCGCCTAGCGAAGGAAGCTTCGCCTAGCGAAGAAACTTGCCCCGACTCGCCTAGAGAGCATGCCAGCGAACATAGTAGAGTTTCGCGAAATTTGATTCTGCGCAGCGATGCCGTGATGTGTGAATCTGTGATTTCTGTGATGGATTACCATGAGTATGACAATGGGTTTTGGGTGATATGTACACGATGACATGATGGTTTTTATGATGTATTGATTGAATTAATATGATGAAATTACCATGATTTGATGAATTATGTGATAACATGAGATATGATGATTTATGTGATGATGATGAATATGATGAATGATGATGCACCATATGCTGTATTTTGAGGATTATTATTGTGACGCGTGCATCATGCATTCATGTGCATCCGGACTTCGGTTCAGAACCTCGATTACTTTGACTTCAATCCCATTGTATGGATGTGAAGTATTTTGATGTGCTCTGGTTCTCTAGTATAATCGATCCTATTGATGGGGATCTATGGAGGGTTGATGACCCAGTGTCCATCGCGCTGTGATGATTGATACCACATGCATTGAGTTGTGTCGCATTGCATTTATGAATCTTTTGTATGAATGATGACATTTTGGCCTTCGAGGCATATTTGAAGGATATGAATGTGTTGAATATGAGTAATAAGCTGTTTATGCATTGATTGCTATACATTGATTATTATGAATTGTTTTACTCACCCTACCTGTTTGAATGTTACCTCCACGTGGGTAACGTGCAGATGACCAAGTTTAGCTGTGGATGTCGTCAAGGAGTTACTTTTGACGTTTTAGAGTCGTTAGCCTTTACGGTTAACTTAGGGGGTCTTGCTCTGATATGTAACATCAGGTTGGGTTCTTTGAGTTAAATTTTATACCGTTGAGTTATTTTGCTAACTTTCCCTTATGAGGAAAAAAACCTTAATTTATGCTTGAGTTTCGCTGTTTTATGTTGTTTGATGTATCTTGGGGAAAACCCATAGTTACAGAGTATTGACCTATTTTGATGACATTAAGAAATGTACGCCCTTTTGGTGACTTTTTATTGAGATTTATTTATTTACTTTGAAATCCGTGTAATTTTGCCTTAAT